GCCATATCCATAAATACCTTTCCCAGTTCAGCAAAAAGATGCACTGCTATCTGCTAAAGTGTCTTTTCTGAAATTGCCCCTTTTTCTGTGTTCCATAATTTTAAACCCTGCTGTGACCCATGAAATTTCCTGGAATCTCATTTATAAATTTGTTTGCAGGTACAGTACATAAACTTTTTTTTTTCACACCTATTTTTTGTTATTAGCATTCTGTCTCCTCTATGTCTGCACCTAAAACCAACCTAAATATTTTCTTAGAAGATGGTGTTTAACAGGATGTAAGTCATATATTAGTTTTGTAAGAAAACATACATTTTCTAGTACTCCAGCCATAAAAACCACCTACCTCCAAGACCTGTTTCCAATCTCCTGCAGAACACCTTTTCCAGAATCATAAATGCATTCATCTGCAAGGAAAGACCAGGAAGGCAACGACAGGGTGTTGCCTCTTATGTGACAGGGAGTTGGAATGCCTGGAGCTCTCTTTTGGGATCAGGGAAGAACTTAGGGGTCGGGAAGGAGCCTCACAGTCCCAGGTCCTGGTCCTCAGGAGGAATGTCATCAACCCCAGTATTTGCTGAAGGGACAACACAGAGATCCAGGAGATTCCCGGGGGCACACCGATAACAACTTCCTAACACAGCAATCTCCAAGGCAGCCCATTGAACCTGATCCTCAGAAACATGGAAGGACTGCCTGGGAATGTGAAGATGGATGGATGGCAGCCTGCCTTGGCTGCAGTGACCACGAGGTGGTGGAGCTCAGGAGAGGGGGAGGAACGAGGCAAAAAGCAGGATCACAACGTTGGACTTCAGGAAGGAAGTCTGTGGGACTGCCTGGGACGTGGGGCACAATCCTAGAAAGAAGGTTCCAAAAGAGCTGGTTCCTCCTCAGGGATTATCTCCTCCAACCTCAACAATGGTTCACTGGGACAAGCAGAAGTCGAGCAAAGGCAGCAGGAGGCCTGCATGGGTCAACAAGAAGCTCCTCACTAAACTCCAACACAAAAAGGATGTGGAAGCACCATCTTCAAAAACAAGGAGGCAGACACCCCCAAGTATGCATCCTGGTGTATATGAATTTGTGTGATGTATGGGTCCAACATATTAAAAAAAACCCCAAAGTAACATGCAATATTAATCAAATTAATCCCTCCAAATTAAGAGGGAAGAAACAAGCCCAAAACCTCAAGTTTACCTTTCCTGTCTTTATGTAACTGCACTTCAGGTCTTTTCCTCATAATTTGAAGCTGTACAATTTAAATGTGACATTTGTACAGCTACTCACACGAAAAGTTCCCCAAACATCAACAGTTACAGAAGTAAATAAATGTAATAACACCTAACACCAGCAATGATTTTATTTAAGTTATCATTCCCTTTAATCCCAGCTGGGTGTTATTGCATGACCTAGAGAAGTTTCTTTGGATCATTATGTGCTGATCTGTCAATGTTTTCTTCAGAATAAGCTTCCTCTCTTACCTTTCTAAAACACCACTTAAAAAAGGAGCCTATCTGACCTGCTTTTTTACACACAAAACTGTTATTTGAAGTGAAATTACAGCACTAACCTAATTCATTTCCAATCACGACTCTCTGTAATAACAGTAATAGTGCTAAATATAATAAGCACATTAAAGTAACTTTTTCAATAAAAATTTAGAAGATTTTTCCCTAAAAAAAAATAAATGACAGAACAGAAACAAAGGTTTCCAAAAGAAAACGTTTTTGGTGTTTTTAAAACAACTATAGATTTGTTAAGTTAGAAGAAGTCAGTTGACAAAATAAAAGAGTTTATTTCAAAAAGAAGGATCACACCACATCAACAACATTGTTCTTTAAAAAACCAGGCTGCTTAAGTTCCAGAAAGGGATGATGATGGGAAAAAATGTGTATAACCACAACTAGAATTTTCCAGCAGCAATGCAGTATTTCTCCAAATGTGACTGGGTGGTAAATCAGAGAAACAGCAGAGGAAAAGTATGATCCAGTTCTTAGTGAATCATCCAAACCAGTTGTCTGCAGATAGACCAAACATCAGAAGTCTTATCAGCTTAACAATCTGTCCAAAGAATCAAGTTCCTGCTCAGAGCATTAGAACCCAGTCACTGTCTTCCCTTCTCAAATTAAGTGTTCCCTCACTGCTTTGCAAATAAGAGAACATCACCTACCAAACAGGAATGTTCATTTCACTATTGATGGATTTTCACTGCAGTAAAAATTGGGGTTTGGTAGTTTTAAAATGCAGCCTCTGTTCATTTCTACAACATATTGTAATGTGGCTACAGCAAAATTTCGGACTCACAGGATTAAAATGACCACTAATTCTGCATTATAGTCAAAAACATGTATTACCTACTAGCACTAAATGTCTTGAAAATATGCAGCACCTCACATCTAGAGGAGCTGGTGTTAAAAGTTGGGATGAACATATATATATGACCATGTGATTGAAAAAGGGACTGACATACCAACAAAGAAAATATAGAAGTCAGACATACACTTGCACCTGCTTCTTTCCTGTCTAAAACAAGCAAGGAATTATAAGGCTAACATGGCAACTTTATGGTTGACTGCACACAAGTCAAAACCCCTAAAATCACACTTCCCACAGCAATTTTAACTCGGCTCCAACTCGTAAGCAAAGAAGTTAGAAATGAAGTATGTCATTTTGCCTCTTAAACACTACAAACACTGAATCAGGAATGTGGGAATCATAACTCCAATTTTACTAGCTTATATGAATTCAAGACCTCAAAGAGACCATTGCATTAAATATCCAAATAACTCTGTAATACTAGTTAATACCAATTTGTTTATTCTATTTATGAACCCACTGCTGCCCCTTTACTGTCTCTGGTTGTTGTAGTAACATATGGAAACAACATTAAGAATGTGAAAATACTACGTGGTCTGTTCAATCCTCATTTTTTAAAAGCTAATTTTACTTAAATGAAACACAGAACTTTTTACTTTTCGGTTTTACACGAGTACAAATGTGGCAACGCTCCATTGTCATCCATTGGTTAAATGCTAACACTATACCAAAGACTTGGAATTCTGCCTCCCATGATTAGGAATAGTAATTATCACTATTAGTTACAATTCTTCCAACTCTTCCACTCTGATTCTGTGATTCTATATCAAAAAAACCCCCTGAAAGCATATGTGACAACAAAACCCTGAAAACACAATTGTCATCCTTGACTGAGGCAGAAATCAGTAGGAAAAGATGAAAAAAAAATTACTGGCTTAGTTGACAAAGATTAATAAATCTTCTCTCAGAACTAAGCATAATAAATTCACAAAAAAGAAAAGAGTCTTATCTAAATATGACCTTGTTAAAAATGCAATTAACTGACTGGCTCTATTACCTCCAAAGCAGCTTTTGAGAATTCCCTTTGTCAAAGGTGCTGGAAGTCAGTTAATTAGTAAACATAAAAGTGAATGAAATAATGCATGTTCATGTAAAAGCCAGTTAGAACCACCTCCTGAGGCATTTGTTTTATTCATTACACTCAAATATTAACACAGCAATTTCATTTAAAAGGAATTAAGTCAGCGCACACCTACAGCTCTGGATGCCAGAATCAGTTCTGTCGGAAACCTTATCCTGAGAGTTCCCAAAGCCATGCCAGAGTCACCACTGCAGTCCTGCTTTTAAGCTTTTCAAGCACTAATATCCAGCTGTTTCTGCTGGGAAAGGAAAAGCCAGCAAGACAGACATCTGTGCTGGGGAGCTGCCAGACCTGCTCAGTGTGTGGCCACAGGTGCTGACCCTCGTGCTGCAGGAGCCAAAGGAGCAAGACAAAAGAAACTTCAGGCTGTACTAAAAGAAGACATCCAATATTCAGGTCTCGTGAAAGCAACTTTTAACAGTCAGCTCTCAGAAGCAGGACTGACTTTCCTGCTCTGATTTGACTCTGACTGTATCCAAGAGGAAGCTACTTGAGCATTTCTACAGAGTAAGTTAAAAGGTTATGACTCTTTTATTGCCCTTTTTGAAAGCTGTAGTACCTGACTCAAAGAGTTATGACAGACTGATACTTGTAAACCTCAGTAACATTTCCACTATTTAAGTCCTTCTGCATGAAGAGCATTAAAACATCAAATCCACTAATTCTATTGTTCTTGATGATCAAAAACATTAGCCAGTATCAGTAGGTTTTTAGGTAAAATCAGGAGGTTTTTAAGCAAACCTTACTTCTATATCATAGCTAAGCAAACATTTCTTTCTGTAAGATGTTGCACATATGAAATGAAAAATCAGTACTACATGATTTTATTACTGTAAATCCTAAGATGTACTGCCACCAGGAATTCAATACAAATTACTAGAGCAACCCAAAAGTAGAAAGAGGAAACAATGCAGTAGCAATTAAAAAACATCCCCAGCGGCAAAAAAAAAAAATTAAGTGAAGCTGAATTACCAACAGAAACTTCTGAAATGTTGAAATTTTGTTTGACCTGCTATAACCCTGGGAGATGACTGAAAACTTCAATGGAAAAATCTGTCTTGTATGTGAGATTTCACACATGTATTTAATGAATGGTGTTAACTTTAACAATGGAAGCAATTTTAATTACATCATCTAGCATCTAATTACATTTTGCAGGTTTTTATTATGCAACACAAACTGGTCCATATTCAGGTTAGGTGACACATCACAAATAATTGGCTATTTCAGAACTTGCTAAGTCATCCTGTTAAACACATTCATCATACAAAGTGTTCTTCTTTTCATCCATTTTATGAAATATATCATAAGAAGGACGAGTGATCCCACTTACAATAATGTACTTAGGCAAGAGGGGTATTAAACCTGTATTCCCAGAAATGTCAAGAATCAGACTCTGATCGAAAAACCTTAGAAATCCTTTAAATTCAAAGGGCTTTGGAGCAGGCCTATAGATACTTCAAAAAATATTTGTTGGACATAAACATACTCTATACAAAACCCCCCTGAAAAACAAAGTGAGATACTACAAGAAAGAAATTACCTGGAGTGTCTTGTAATGATCTTGATGTGGTACTTTTTCTTTTTTTTCCTTCAGGAAATCCATTTCTAAAACACTATGTTTTTCCAGCAAATATTCTAATTCCTATAATGTTTGCAAAATAGAATACATGAAATCACAAACAGTTGAGGATTCTGAACACAGATTCAGTTAATAATTCCAACTAATTTAATTTCTGAAGCGCTATGACATTTTATATCACAATTTACACAGAGATTAAGGGTCGTGCAAGAAAACTCTCACTGCAGTTTTTAGATTGAGACAATATTTTAAAGAAGTTTAAGGTATTTAAAAGCCAAGGCATGTCCTATGTATGAGGAATGCTCAAAGCAGCATCAGGGGAGTTTTAGACTGAACATTGTGAAGCATTTCTTTACCAACAGGTGGCCAAGCACTGGAACAGGGTTCCAGAGATGTGGTCAATGCCCCAGGCCTGTCAATGTTTCAGAGGCATTTGGACAATGCCCTTAATAACTTTTGGCCAGCCCTGAAGGGTTCAGGCAGCTGGACCTGTTGTTACAGATCCCTTCGCATTGCAACTATTCTATTCCAGTCCAATTATTTCCACATTTTTGATATCTTGCTCTGTCTTTCTGCACTTGAAAAACAGCATACTAAATGTACTGTTAGTAAATGTTTTCACTAAAAAGGCAGAAATCCTATGGCATACACAGATACAGTGACCTCTGTCTACATCTCCAAAATTAATAAAATTTTAAAATATTCTGGCATCTTGCAGAGAGCCAACCTGGAAGCCTGCCCAACATGAACCAAGAGAGAGGGAGGAGAATAACACTGCTGACAATAAACTTCAAAATTGGTCACTATACAAAGAGCTAAAGATTTTTATTTTTCCTTAATGCAGCCGTTGTTCCCACTAAACTCATTACTATTATACATCAGTTGTTGGCACCCTCTCAATTGCTCCAGAACAACTTCTTGAAGCCGTGCAGGAAGCCAGGATAGAAACAAAGGACCTGCCAGGTCACAGCACAGCTATTCAAACAAAGGCACAACTGAGAGGGTCATCAGGAGGACACAAAGAGCAGGTCTGCTTAGCTCAACCCTGCTTTGGGACAAAATCATAAAAACAGTTCAAGAGATTACAAGTCTCTGATTCCACTGCAGGGATAGAAATAGATCATGGAATTCCTCTTCAATTCAGAGTTTAGCTCTCAACCTGTGTCCTCTTACAGTCTGTATTCATCCTTCCCTCCCAGCTTCCCTCTATACACTTAATTCCCAGCAAAACCAGCCCATTGCAGTCGTCCTCATCTTTGGCTCCAGTTCCTCAGCCTCAGTTGTTTCCTCCTTCCCCAGCACACCTTGAGAGCTACCAAGAAACAGTATGAAGGATGGCAGAAACTAAACTCGCCCTCCCATGCCTCAGTGACCTTTTGCCAACTCAGATGTGTCAGACATAACACTGCTTGGTGCTCTTATTGTATTCCCCTTGGAAGGAATATGAAGAATTCAGCTACCAGAGCTCCCAGGAAAAAAAAAAATCAAAACCAAACCACATGGCTCCATGCTAAGAACACTTGTCACTTTTTTTTTATTTTATTTTTTTATCCCTCAAAGAAAAAAATAATAAAATCCTGAAACTTTAGAAAAATTTAGCCTAAAGTTTTGGCTAATTTCTACCAAAAAATGAATTTCAAATCTCTGCCAGCTCCAACCATATTTTAATCCCATACAAATGCCAACTGTTCTAATTAAAAAAACCCTATTCATACATTTTTAATTTTTGATTTTTCTTCTTCAGCAGTGCAAAGCTTGATTTCTAGGTTTGCAACAGCTTGTTGAAGGCAGCTCCTCGCTTCATTTGTTCTCTGTGTCTCAGCATCAATCAAAGCAGTGGTTGATGTAACTAAAGTCTTGCCTTCAATTACACTTGAAGAGGCAACTGGAATATCTGCTTGAATCTAATTCACAGGAGAAAAGTGAATAATCTCAGTACATCAGGTTTACAGGGAAACAAACTCTCCTTGGATAAGTCACTCCACGCTTTCACCCAATGCAGGCTGCAAACAGTAGTCACAGAAAGGGAATAAAAGGGGTTTTTTATCTCATCTTGAGGATAGATTAACAAAATAAGAGTAATTGGGACATGTTTACAACATTTAGTTAATGCTATTTCAGTAAACTGTAGAAGCACAAGAACTGAAACAGAGGTTTCTAGAATCCACAATGTAAACCAGATGAAACACTGATAATAAGACTACATTTTCAGAAAAGCACAAAATAAATTAGGTGAGGTTCAAAATACTTTGTGGTATAATTAAAAAAAGCCAATGCTTTTTTTTTCCCCTCTTAAAAAAAAATAAAAAAGCTGGTAAATTAATTCAGCTGCCACTTTTTCAACAATTTGAAAACCAAACACTTGAGATTTGGGTAAGGGTGGTGAAAGGAACATCTCAATGTGTTTATTAAAGAGAGGTTTGACTGATCTGATTTAATCCACTCCCCTAACACCTTTTATCCCAAACATACACTCAGATAATGTATTGACTTTTCAGTAAATAACTATCTCTCAAAGAATTCAAAGGAAGTAACAAACAAAAACAGCTGAGATCTTGACTGCACAGGAACACATAAGAAACTGCAGTTTGTGCTCTGAATTCTCCTTGGCAAAGAGAAGCCAGATGTGCTAATTCTATTTCTGAGTCCTAAAGATCAGAGTTTGGCATCGCCAAAAATTGTGAGCTTAGAACCTAAAATGGTGAAGCTTTTTTTTTACATGAAACCTCAAGAGGCCTTGGAGATACAAATATAAAAGAATACAGTTCTCCTAACATTCCCCTCGAACAGGTATAAGAATATTTTATTATAATTTTATGCCCACCATTTTCCTTCTTGTTTACTCCTAAGTGCAAAGTCTGATCTCCAAAATAACACTAAAGGACATGCTCTCAACTCCTTTTCTCCCTTTAGTAAAACTTGTTAATATATTTTTTAGTCTGTACTATTTCCTGCACTAAAGAGAGACTTTGTGGAACCATGGGTGTGTCAGTAGCTGAACAGAACAAGACAAGAAAAATTGAAACATGGCCTACAACCAGAATTTATACAAATACTTAGTCAGAAGTAAGAAAGTGTATTTCTTATTTTTTCATAAGACTACCTAAGCAAATTAATTTTTAGTTTTAAAAAATAAATCTTAGTATTCTGCAATATCCCAAGTGCTCTTTCCAGAGAACACAGAATCTAAAATTGCTGGCCAAGCTCAAAGAAGAGAGGATGCAGGTTATTCACTGTGAGCCAAAATCAAAAAGGGTAGAACTAGGAACTGTGGTGGCTAAAGGAAAGCATACCTTGGTCATTCTGCCAGTAACAGGAATTTACTGCTCCAAACTCTGTCAGAGAGGCAGAAGAAGAGCCTTCAACACAGAAAATTACTGTGGCTGGTATCAGTCAAAAAAATAAAACAAACACTCCTCCCTCTCAAGAAAAAAATCCACAACTTTTGGATTTCTAAGAAAATTTCTTTGACATCATTTGCATCTGGGCACATCTCTTTGCTTTTCATAGGCTTTCCCCAGAATATTAGGCTGGGAACAAATACAAAACAATAACTAATTCATTCCTAAGATTGGAGCTGTACTAGCCCCAGTCTTTCTGGAAATGTAAACATACAGATGCTCCTCAAAGGAAAAAAAAAGACTCAGTTTAAGCAAAACAAGTATTTTGTACAAGTTCTCTACATAGTTCTTAAGAAATGCTTTTAAATGGTTGGACAATGGAAATCTGACTTAACGGCGAAATTCAGTTTTCACCATGAGCAGGCCTAGAATTGATGAGACTACTGGAAGAATAAGAAATAAAGGAAGGTTTGCAAACTAGCCCAAAGTATTGGTTGGTTCACAATGAGGCAAAAGCACTTTCTAATTCTCCTCATTTCATACATCCTGAAACAAGGAAGTTTATAATCAATAAACTTGTTCAAATAGGTGTCACTGCAATCAATGGCAAAGAAAGATTCACTTGGGAGGGTAAATCTATATAATTCTCATCTGCAGCAATCCAGCATTCCTCTGCTAATCTCCAGGCAATACTTTTTTTTTCCCTTCCGTGTTCATCTAATAGTTTAGTTAAAAACTAAACACTTTTACCCCCAAAAAAGAAATAAAGATCATTTTTCAGCACTAGTGCAGCCACAAGGAGAGATTAAGATTGTACAACTAGGATAATGTCAGATCACACAAAAAAATATTAAAAAATCAACTTTAAAAGTAACGGGGGAAAAATAAATTAAAATAAAATAAAAATAAATTTAATTATAAGTAAATAAAGATTAAATGTTAATTCTCAAATCCTAAAGTCACGAGAAAACATACAAGTATGGCATCTATGTACAGCTATAATATTTACAGCTTTAACAGGAACAAACTTTCTTGAAAGAACTTTCCTAGCATTGTTTCCTACATGCATGCCCAGCACTATCAGCATGCCTGTAACTTTTAATAACTCTAACACACTTGTCTCTCTTAGGGTTCACACCAAAGTACAGTGCAGTGTCTCCCAGTTGTAGGTCTTATAAACAGTTTTAAAATTATTTTACTTCAAAGTCTTCATCACAGAAATCCAAGGAGCTTTTTGCCCTTAGAAGGCATTTCAACCTAAATGTGCACAGAAAAGATACAATGCTAATATAATAAATAGTGAAGCTCAAAAATTGTGGGTTTACCTGTTCTTCAAGAACAGCTGGATTTATCACGCTGTTGGCTGTTTGAACAGCTGTTGCCACACTATCACCTGATAAAATGAATGAGTCAGAAGGAGCCAGGCAGGAAGAAGGCACAGAGTGCTCCAGAAGAACATCAGGAGATCTGTGGACTTCAGGTACTAGAAATAGAAAACACACACAATGTGAAGAAGCACTCAAAAATTAACTCTGTTTCTGGAGCCTGTTCAACAAGTGTAGTCATACTAATGTAATCTTATGTACCTCATATAATCTAATTGCACTGAAGAATAATTCCATACAAAACCCACAAACCTGTGGTTTTGAGTACTATCAACTTGAGGACATTCAAAATCGTAGTCACCCCAAATTTAGACTTGTAATTTACACAGAGGTTTTACAAGACAACTGCTATCAAAAGGATCCATTTCAACTTTGTTTCTTTCAATTCACACAACCTTTCAGCTTCAGCATGATCTTTATCAGTCTAAGTCAAGTGTAAAACCCACGCTTATAGTTTCCTAAGTTTCATAAATTCTGAAGTTAAAAAATCCTCAACTGTCTTAGAAGACACAAACCAAGCAAGACACACTTAAAAAAACTTACCAAGACACATGATAAAGCAGTTTTATATGTTATAAGAGATAAAAAGATAACGAAGTAAATAACTCTCCAGCTAATAAAACTTCAGTGGAATTAATACTGGACTGAGAGCTCTTCCATACCAATTTCCAGTTATGCCATAAAAATCCTGAACAGTGGATCATCATTATCAACCCAGCACAACAGAAACTTGAGCGCTCTTATGAAGGACATAAACTAAATAGACTAAATAAACAGAAAGGAGAAGAGAAAGCTTGGCATACATTTTTAATTTAACAGCAAAGTCCTGCAAACTTTGATATGTTCAGCTACAGGTGTGCCTTTGCAGAAGGCAAAAAAAAGTATATGCAATTGTTTTAGGAAAAGCAGCTCACATCATCAATACAACTCTGGTAAAATGTAGAAAGAAGATGCCACTAGCCTGGACAAGGCTCTACCTCCCCATATCACTGTTTAATGCTGCACAAGCACACAGCACAAACAAGTGTGTCCATTGGCCTAAAGGACAATTCAAAAGGACACACCAGTCTGTGGATCCAGTCCTATCTTCTTCACTCTCCAGTTCTAGGATTCAGGTATAACACAGAGGAACATGCAAACCTCGTCTACTAAAAAGAAAGAAAATGGACTGTGAGGCAGAAAAATATCAGTATGGTAATTGCAGTGATAGTAGATTGGGACATATGGCCAAAAAGAAAAAAACAAACAAACAAACAAAACAAACAAACCCAAAAATCACAGTGCAGCAGAAAATGGAAACTTGGCTGAAAGGCCTAGAGGACAGTACAGCAAACAGAAGAGGAACCAATTTTGGTAACCAGGACCCAAAACCAGATCTGGGACACAACTACACCTTTAACAGAAAACTCTTCCTCAGAATTGGAAATGGGACTTTTTCAGCTTCCTTTAAGCACTATATCAGCAAAACTGCCCTCCCAATCCAAATGTCTGCTTTTAAAGGCAGCTTCTCATAACAATTACCTACTCTGTTAGTTCAAGTGGCAGTGAAGTGACATAGATAATCTTTTTGTTTCTAAACAAGCAGTAAAGTCTCTGTTTTATGCTGTCTTTAATACCCCGAATCTCAATTTTAAATCGATCTCCATCTGATGGAAAACCAACTAAAATAATGTACCGGGCAACTTCTCACTGAGCAGGCAAGGGATTTTCTTACTAAAACTGTCAACTCACATGGAAACCTGACATGACACTGTTCCTTTGGATGTCAGTGTTCACCCTTTAGTGAGGATCACCATAGCTCAGGCATAGTTCACATATAAATAATTTATCCCAAAAGTAAAAACAGAAACTGAGACTGGGTACATATGAATAATGGAGACTCACTGAAATTAAAACTTTTGGTATTCACATATTTTGGGGTATCCAATACTAGACATAAGACTCCATTTTTCAGGTAATAATCTGGAATCTTCCACAATCAAATCAAGCTTTCAGGGATTCTGGTTATAGTAATGAATGCTTGGCAACTTGACAGGGAAGAAAAAAGAAACAAAATCTCCCTCTTAAGTTGTCAAAATGAAGCCTAGGAAATGAGGAGTAACAACTGGTGACCACCTCTGAACATTGAGGTTTAAAATTTTCATCTAAATACATGACCTTGCAGAAGACAAGAAAAGGTGGCAACTCTCCATGGTATCAGTCAAACATCTTTTTTCACAAATCTTTCTTTTCATTTTTCAGCAATGTTAAATATTCATAAATTAGACATTCCTAGAATTACACGTGCTACGGCTGTAATTCAAGCTCTCTTAATTCATTCCTCTTGTGTATATACTGGTGAACTGCATTAGCATTTTAGTACAGCTCAAAATTCACTTATAGAGACGACCCCTAAGTCATTCTTGCTCACCACACCTTAGACAATTCAGTTGTTTCTGTTACTAAAAACATTAATTTACAAGTCAATGCCTAAGAAGCGTTTCGACCAAGACTATTAAAATCTTGCCTCTTGCAATGAATTAATTTATTCACAGCAACATTTGCATGAAAAAGTCATCTAAAGATTTTGCAGTAATAAAATATTCTGAATACAGGTGTTTTTCTTTTAATTTTGACAAACTTAAAATACCTTGGTATAACTTACCTCAAGACTTCTCTGCCACTTACAATCATACACAAAACTTCTGTGTTAGTACAAATAATTTGAATTCTACACACCTCATAAGATTTAAAATAGACTTCATGAGGCAGACACTGCACAGCTACATTGGATTTAATTTATTAAGCACATCCAAATATGCAATTGAATTTAAGAAGTAATAATAGTCAAAATGACAAGATGAATAATAAAGCTATTTGAAAAAATAGTTTCATCATTATATGTTTTCCTTTATTTCAATGACAGATAAAGGCAATTATTCTGTGATGGATGAAAGCCAGTAGTGCCAGAAATAAATCAATAAAAGCATTCTAAGAACATGACTTATGGAGAACTCATATTGAGAAAAATTCGTGCCTTATTTTTTATAATTTATTCTGCATAATAATGCAATAGCAGGCACAAATCTTTAGTTCCTGAACAAATAATAAACTGTGTTGGTTTCCCCCCTAATGCTGCTAAAGTGATGTTTCTCTTTGGGAAAACAGCAAAATCTAGGCCGCAACAAAATCAAATGCCAATCAGTAACACCTCCTCAATCTTTTAGTTCTACTGATATTGTACATCAATGAACTTACATTTACTTCTTAAAATCCATATGGGCCACAGGCATTTGTGTAAATTAATACAAGTAGCTCCATAACGTTTCTACTTCTTCTTGAGATAAAGGTTATTATGTAATATATTTTTTAACTTTATAAACTGCTTAAGTAAAAAAGACGATTCTCATCCACCCCCCCCTTCCCCAAAGAACGTAAAAGACTCTATCACAGTCCTATTTTCAAGTTTACTTTTTGGGGTTTTTTTCCACAATTTGCAACAGATCTTCCACACACCAAAGTAAAGGATATCCTTTGAATGAAGAAGATCTGTTTGTTTTCATCTGGATAAACTGTACTTCTCTTTCATTCCTCAAGAAAATTTAACTTTGAGAAGCGCAGCTGCCCAAAATAATTACTCAGGAACATCCTCATGCTCAACTTTTCACTTCTGGCTATTCTTTTATTGTGTCTATACACCCTTCTGGGCACTAGTTTTTACAGTGAATACATGAGGACAGCAATACAATATTAAGATTTTTTTATAGTGATTTTATCAATACCTGTAGGAAATGCTGCCCAAGCAATAGCAGGGGATGTGGTCTGCTTCTCACCATTTTCAAACTCATAACTCTCTGCTGCCTAGGAACAAGAAGAAATTATTAGAAAAATTTTACAAAATATTTACAATCATTTACAATCAATTTCCATATAAATAGTTGAAAAATAAGTTTTATTTCAAAATAAAGTCATTCAAATAACATACCTCAAATCCTCCAAAGTCGTCATCATCCATCTTTCAACTGGTACTAGAATACAGAAGAAATGTTGATTTTAAAAGAGGGAAAATAAACCCCATTATGTTGCTACGTTGCCTTTACTTGTAAAATAGCAATAAAAGCTTTGCAAAACCAAAGGTATGGTGTTAGTTTTAAAGGACAGACGTGGGTAAAACAAGTCAGTGTGATCAAACCCCCAAAGCCCAGCAGTATGAAGCAATACAATGTCCCACACAGCAGGAAAGTGGGTACATTTCACTGGCCAGTCTTGTAAGAGAGATGTGATTTAATGATCAACCAGCAGTCCAAAGACAAAATGACTTATATATTTGTACTTCAGCTACATGACAGATGGAAAAAGACCTTCACTTGGATCCAACTGCTACCTTGCTCATCTATGTGCTTTGCATAACCACCTCATCACCCACTCGTTTAGAAATGAATATTCAGTCCTTCCCCCAAGTCCTCATCTCCACACATTACCTGAAGTCTTCATAATTCACAAATCCTACAACACACCAAGGTACCTAAATAAGAACCTTTTCACACAGAGGATGCAAGGGTTAGAACCCGAAGATCTCAGTTAAGAAGCTTTTTTTTTTAATTCATCAAGTTAAATGCAAAAAAATGGGTATTTTATGATAGAATTTGACTGTCTTCAAGGGTAAACATAAGCACTGCCCATTGTCAAATATCTTTTGAAAGCAAAAATGAAGGAAAAGCTTTCTAATATAAGAAAATAGAAAGATGGTCCTTTAAAAGCTATATCTATTGATCTCAAGTATAGCAGTCAAGTCCCCAGGACCTCAACAAATGGTACTAAAACCAGCAAATATTCTAGTCTGGATATATATTAAAAAAAAAAAAAATGTCCAGGAAGCAGGATTCTGACCACCAGATTCCAAAATCAAGGGTTATCTTCATTCATGATGAAGACAACCCGATTTAATGCAAATATGATCTATCATGTACCTTGTATAATTTTGTGTTTCTGATTTTAAATATAAAAAATATTTTCCATTGTTAAGTTGCTTTTCCAAATCAGCATTGTGATTAAATCCAAAAAGATTTCCTGCCTTTCCCATCTCTTCTTAGCTGTCTGGCAACATCAGAACAAACTGCAACTTGGAAAAAGACTGTGGTGAATTTCTGGAAATTCTTCTGCTACCACAGAGGTCCTTCCCTAGTTTTCATGGAGGGTCTGATTTAGATTTTACAAACTGATCAGCATTTTTGACTTGTAGCCCTGAATTCTGTGGCATTTTGATATATTTATAGTCAAATTGCAGTTCCTTTTACAAAAATGTGGGCTAAGTTACTCAGCTAATGAAAGTAACTCAAGATACACAAAGCTTTTCAAAGAAAGGTATTATATATTTAACTATACATTTACATATATATATATAAAATTCTGATATGTGAATGAAGGATGATCCAAAAAACCTTTATGGTCTTTACAGAATGTTAAAATGTTTATAAAACTAATTGACTTCAGTTAAAACAGACTATAGGCTGGATAAACTTTTATTACTAAGAAAACACATGCTGAGAAACAGAAGAATTCAAAGGATCTGGAGGAAATCTCCAAATGGATGTATCAGAATGCCAGAAGGGGACACTTTCAGTTCACATCCACTGCTGAAACCCACTACCCAGACTGACTTCAATTCAAACATCTTCCAAAGCTCAACTAATTAATTTCTGAGTTCTCACTGATGAACTTAGAAGGCTTCGGGGTGACCCAATTGTGGCCTTCCAGGACCTGAATGGAGCCCACAAGGAAGATGGAGAGAGATTATTTCCAAGGGCCTGGAGTGACAGGACAAGGGGGAATGGCTTCAAACTGACAGACAGGAGGTTCTTCCCTGAGAGGGTGGGGAGGCCCTGGCACAGGTTGCCCAGAGAAGCTGTGGCTGCCCCATCCCTGGAAGTGTCCAAGGTCAGGTTGGACGGGGCTTGGAGCAACCTGGGATAGTGGAAGGTGTTACCTTCCAGGGGATTGGAAAGAGATGATCCTTAAGGTCCCTTCCAACCCAAGCCATTCTATGATTCCATGAGTGAAGTTGTTCTAAGAGACTTTGTTTTTTAAGTTTATTTTTTGTCTATTTTTGATAGCTCATCAAGTTTTTATAATATGGTTTTAATGAAAATGTTCACAATATTAAAAACGAGATAAATGTTGCTGCAGAAGGTATAAATATCTCTCAATCAAATAGAAGTTCTTTTTTTATGGAATAGAATGAATAATTTGCTATTGGTTAAATATAAAGAAAATGGTTAAATGGAAAGAAAATAGTTAAATGTAAGTTAAAAAATATAAACAAACATTTTATGCATAAGCTGTGAAGAGATTATACTATGATTTTATAATTAAATTTCCAGATTGAGGGTGGGGAGGCCCTGGCACAGGTTGCCCAGAGAAGCTGTGGCTGCCCCATCCTTGGAAGTGTCCAAGGCCAGGTTGGATGGGGCTCTGAGCAACCTGGGATAGTGGAAGGTGACCCTGCCCATGGCAAGGAGTTGAAACTAGGTGATCTTTCAGGTCACTTCCAACCCAATCCATTCCATGATTCTATGAAAAATCATCACTACCACTGTGTTAGCAGACAGATCTGGTCAAATTAAAGAAAAGCATTGTTCAATACTCACATGTGGTATAAAAGTTAAGAATCTTTTTGGGGACTACGAGGAATTTTTGGCTTTGTGTTGGTTGAATTTTGTGCTGGTTAATTTTTCAAGGGAGAAAGAAGGTAGTTGAGTATTTTTCCCATCAGTGTTAAGGTTAATTGGTCAAACATTCATGCACTCCATTGACATTCAGAACTTTAATACATAACTCAAAAAACCAGCACCTGGGTACACAAACGACAGTGATGGAAGTTGCACAGACAGAACATGACTGCAGAAGCAGACAGCAATGCACAAGCTGAGAATGTCAATATATTCATGCCACCTACCACTAAATACCACCCAAACCAGGCTGGTGATTTATATAATTACTGCAAAACACAGTGTTCAAGTAGCAATCAGAGCAGTCAGGTGGAGAAAGCGAGCCTTTAGAAAGGCAAACAGGTACTTTATCTATACACTACATATCACATCAACAGGTCTTACAGGCTCTACACAAAGTTCCTTCAAAGCACATTTTCTCCACAATGTGCAGGAGACATTCGTCTCAGAACTGGTTATGTCTCAAGCAGAGAAAATACATTCAGCACTGAGTTTTAAAAACACAAACTGGAACAAGTTTAGAGGAGTACAACAGGAATCGAAGCAATTTTGGAAAGGCATGCTAAGATAGAGAGGCTTCAAAAATTTTTCTGAAGGAAAAAATAGAAAATATGAAAAATCATGTTAGAAGAAGTGATTAACTACTTCGATTTTTTTCAAATACAACATTGACATAAGGCAACAAAGGACAGCAAGCCCTGTAAGCAAACCATATGTTAAATACTTGTGAGGATTTCCATTTCCTCTACAAGAAAATTTAGAAGAACCTGTGTATAAATAAAACAGAACTTTTGACAGAGAAAAAGGACGTAGGGCAGAAGAAAAACTGGGGAACAACCTGTTACTGAATCCATCATCTTTTCTATTGCATTTCAAACAAAGTTTTCATAAGTCTGGTAACAATCCTAAGGCTATTTTGACATCAGATTACCTTACTCCACAAATTTTAAACACAGACTTTTCGTGGCTGTAACAACATGATTAATTTATTAATTATTCCACCTATCACTTAAATGGAACAAAAGAGAAACAGATTACAATCAAGTCTCCATAGTGCCAATGGTGTTTTCACACCTAACTGTTAATCCTCCAATTTCCAGTTCCTCAGGGATCCCACAGGAATTCTAGACCAAGGGATTCTCAACCAGTTAGGTTATATGTGTTATACATACACAAACAGCAAACATTAATTCATGTACACACACCTCTGATTTCAAAGACAAAGCTCAGTTTCTACTCTACCAAAATGAAATCTTGATTTGAAATCTAAAAATACCAGAATCTGGCAAAGTTAGCATGTATCACAAATATGCAGGCAGCAGATTAGGATAGAATGCATGGATTAAATCCTGAGGGATGTTGATTTAGGGCACTTCAAAAACTCAAAGGTTGAAGTGTTGTCTTCATAGAGTGTTAGTGCAAGAGTTTTTACTAGAAGATGTCTTTCCAAAATTATGATACCTTCTTGCATAAAAAGGGTGCCTTCTGCAAGGAGAAGGGAAAAGGGCCACACCAATGTTAAAAGAACTGCTTTGAAAAAAAAAAAAATTGAATCAAGCCTATTTTTAAATAGGATGCTTTCAGAGCCCTCAAAAGTACATGTGCATTTAGACCTAAAAAAATGTTTGAATAATTAATTATAAATTTAACATGATAAATTTAACAATCCCGAAAATATGACCAAATGCATAATTTCCCAATTCTACCCCTTATTCTCATGATGGAAATGCATTTCTGATATGAATAACAGAACTAGCCCTAACACCACACATGAGAACTGCAACAATTTTAGGAGCAAGTTCTTTTAATCAATCGTCTATTCCAAAATGGGTAATCAGACTTTTCTTTCCTCACAAACTTGGAGCGTTATTTGTGGCACTGGAATAGGAAAGAATACATTAAGTGCTGACAATCTTCAGGATTTAAAAAATAACAGAAGAAGACAAAACAACCCACACAGTCTTACCATGACTAAATGTGGTCTCTTGAAATATGCCTGATACTGGAATTAAGTAACTGTAAAATTGGGCAACAAGAAGTCAACCTCAAAATTACAGAGTCAGAAATCCTGGTTGGAAAAGGCACAGTAGGTCATCCAGCCCAGGTCATTTTCAAAACATTACAGTTCTCAGACAGTTGTGTCCAAAAACACTCGAGATCTCCAGTCACGCTCTGTGAAAAGGAGGAAATTTTCCATGGATAAGGACCAGGCAGGCCACTGCATTTTGCATAGATTTTATCAAAGAGTTTGCATTCATACAATGCAACAACAATTTATGCCAAAATTGAGACCAACAGGC